GAGGCATGTCCCAGGTCACTGGGCACGTGAGGTCTTTCACAGGTGAAGGGGGCAGGGACACCCTCTGGCTCTTTCAGATGCAAACTGCGTCTGTGTCCTTCCGGTCCATCCATATTCCGGGGGGGGACGCTCAGGTGCAGCCGGGACATGGGGTCTGCAGGCCGGCAGGGGGCCTGGGCATCCCTCATCCCACCCCCTTCTTTGGGCTCGGCCCCCAACTTCTGCACCATGAGCCCTGCTGTCTGTACCCTCTACCGTGTCCTCTCTGTCCTTCTTCCCCTACCCACTGAGCCAGTTCCCTCAAAACCGCAGCACAGAGCCGGGAGAGGGGCTGTTTCTCTCGAAGCTCATGTAACTCTGCTCAGCAGAGCCAGGTTGGCTAGCTGGGGTGGCGGCCGGGCTGCCTCTGGCCGAGGGCTGGCTAGCAGGGGTGGCAGGCCGGGCCTGCCCCTTGGCCGAGGGCCCCCGGTGGAGGTCGCTGTCCTCTCCTGCAGGTCTCCGACATCGTGGACAGACAGCAGACCGTGGGCCTGAGCACCGAGGAGCCTGGGGACGTCTTCACCTACTCCCAGTTCGACGGGATCCTGGGGCTGGCCTACCCCTCCCTGGCCTCCGAGTACTCGGTGCCCGTGTTCGACAACATGATGAAGAGGCACCTGGTGGCCCAAGACCTGTTCTCCGTTTACATGAGCAGGTAGGCGCGCGCCCGCCGGCCGGCTCCCAGCCTGGCAGGGTCTGCGGCCGAGGGTCAGGCCACCCCACGGGGACGCTGCCGCTCAAGGGGAGTCACCGCATCCAGGCACATTCAACCTCTCGTCCGAAGGCCCCAACACGGTCACGGGCGCAGCCAGAGTCCAGGGGCCGAAATTGGACCTTTAGTTCTGCCATTTATAAAGCAAGACCCGACCTCTACATGGGGCTCTCCTTCTTCGGCCTCCGCAATCCTTTGTTGACATCACTGAGATTCACAGACTTTAGAGCAGGCTCCAAAGGAGTCCTACCTTCTCCTTGCACAATTTGGGAAACTGAGGCGGGAGGGATGCTCACCCCGGGAGCTGGTGGCTCCGGACTCCAGTGGGCAGCTCAGCTGGACAGAGGGGCAGGGGGAAGGCTGGTGTCAGGGGACGTCAGGCAAGGGGTGCAGTGGTTCATTCATTCATTCATTCATTCACTCATTCAGTCACTCATTCACCTATTCACTCAATAGATGTAGTGGGTCCTACTGTGTGCAGCGGCTGTGCCAGCAGATGGGGAGGGATCAGCAACAAGACAGCCTGGGAGTTAACTTTTATCAGGGGAAGCAGACGACACACAACGACACACATATGATGGTGACAGGTGGGACAGGCGCTGACTGGGAGGTCTGCGTGTATTAAGCTGAATAACAACAGGGAAGCCGGCCTAAGGGAGGGTGTGGAGGGGCCGGAGGCCTCGCTGAGGCATGAGTGGGCGCCGTCCGGTGACCCAGAGGGACGGTGCGTTTCAGGGCCCGGAGGTGGAGGAGCTAGACGAGGGCAGGGACGGGACAGCGGGTGGGAAGCGGGTGGCACTAGTGTGCCCGTGTCTCCTGGCCGTGGACAGAGCCCAGGGGAACAGAGGGGGCTGGTGGCGGTGGCAGGTTTAGTCCAAAGGGGTGGGGCCTTGTGCACAGCCCTCTCTCCTACTCTCAGCCTTGGGTGAGGGGGAGCGGGGGCACAGGGCGGCCGCTGGGAACGGCGAGGGTGGTCCGCGCAGAGCCCGGCAGCCTGTGGCCTGGGGGCGGCTTGCTCCCGGGGGTCCCCTCCCGCAGCCGGCTGCAGCCGGGCGCCGGGTGCCACAACACGCCTGTCCTTGGTTTCAGGAACGGCCCCGGGAGCATGCTCACGCTGGGGGCCATCGACCCGTCCTACTACACGGGCTCGCTGCACTGGGTGCCCATCACCGTGCAGGAGTACTGGCAGTTCACCGTGGACAGGTGGGTGAGCGGCGGCCGTGGCCCGGCCAGAGGCCCCCTCCAGGGTGGGGACGTGGGGCCCGGGGTCAGCCACCCAGGAGACCATCAGACCAGAGTCTGAATGAGACTCCCAGGCCCACGGCCTTGACGGTCACGGCCTCGCCTCTGCTTTATGAATGAGACGCGGCGTTGCCTGAGCGCTTACTCCCTGCGGGGCACTGGCTGAGTGGGGCTGCCTCCTTTCATCTCACTGACACCCAGTGAGGTGGGTGCTGTGAGTACCCTCGCTGTATGCTTTTCTAGCAGCCGGTTGGGACCTCATAACCATCCCTAGGAAGTCAGGGAGGGGTCATTAATGTACCCATTTCATGGATGGGCAGCCTGAGTGCAGGAAGGTTGGGTAACTTGCCCGAGACTTGAAGCAAGTCAACAGCGGGGAGAAAACTCGGTCTCCAGGCAACGAGCGAAGTACATTCCAGTGCATCCACCCGTGTGCACGTGACTTTGCTGAGTTGTTGCAGTTCTTGTCCCACAGAAGGTGGGGTGGTCTTGATTTAGCCACTGAGTTGGGAGAACATGGTTTCGGGTCTTTTCTCTGAGCTCAGGAAGTTGTGGGGAGTCCAAGAAGGGGTCCCAGGGAAGGGCACCTGGGGGTTGGGCGTCCTCCCTGCCCGGATCCTGGCAGGGGAGGCCAGGGGCACCCGGGAGGGAGGCGCAGCAAGGCCGTCCTGTCTCCCTCTGCAGGGTCACGGTCGACGGCGTGGTGGTGGCCTGTGACGGCGGCTGCCAGGCCATCCTGGACACAGGCACCTCCATGCTGGTCGGGCCCAGCAGCGACATCCTCAGCATCCAGAAGGCCATCGGGGCCACAGAGGACCAGTTTGGCATGGTGAGGCCAGGCCCTGCCCCTCCCAGACTGCCTGAGGGGACCCTTGGTGCACGG